TATTGTTGAGTGAGAGATGTCAAATTGAATGAACATAGATTAGTTGCGTGATCAATAAATGAATCAACCAAATTACCAAAACTTACCAAAGCTAATGGGAGACAAATCCCAAAAGCTAAGGATGCAATAGTTCCTAACACTATGTAAAATAATTCAGGAATAGTAGCATATCGAAACTAAAAATCAAAAAGAAACTTGAGTTGATAAAATAATATTAATAATTTTATTTACCAGACTTTGAATGCTCACTACTTCAATTTGTGTTTTATGTTGTTTTTTAATATGAAATCGTTGCCAAAAATTTGTCTTTTTAGACTTTTCTTCTTCTTCTTGAGACATTACTCTGAAAATAAATGAAAACAAAAATATCTTTACAAAAATGGCCGTCTCTTTTATTTTGTGTTTACAGCTTCATTATTATTTCTATTTATAGTATGTGAAGAATCACTATCAAGAATTACTCTAATTTATTCGAAAATGATTGATGTAATATCAATATATTAGAAGTGCAGTTAAAGAGACATATGCTTTTTTTATTACGCTTTTGCTTTCCTACCTTTTTTCGTACGATTATTATTCATTCAATTTTATAATTATATGACTGCAATCACATATGTCGACACACACCAAGGTAATCGTTCACGGTATGCATATGAGATATGCACACAACACTTTTTCTTATCAAGAAAGAAACAATATATAGAAGAAGCAATCAATTGCTCTAAGAAAAACTTATATTTATCATATGTCTTTGAATGTCATACTTGAATCAATGAATAATATTTTTTGTTAGAATCACTGAAATACAAGGGTAAACGTTAGATGATACACATTGACATAATATATTACAGGCAAAATTAAACTTTAGACAAAACTCATTTTTTATTAGAGGCCAAACTACGAAATAATATGCTTTTATTTAAAAATAAATTCGAATTTTCAGTTGGATTAAAAAAAAGTATCACTTATCAGCCATTTTTTTACCAGATAAAGTATTCATTTTCACTTATTCATACTGTAATGTAAACATCAATGACTACTTTTCCATCAACATCGGAAATTGATTTTCGAAAGTATCTTTATGAATAAGCAAAGTAATATTTTAAATTATTGAAATATTGAATTCCAAGAAAAGGCGGCTATCACTGACCACAGAGGATACATAAGTTAAAATATCCTTAATTTTTTGTTTGATTGGAAAATAGCTTATGAAAATTTAACAGCATCATATATTTATACTTTACCCATGTCGCGAAAATCGTGACGATTTTGGCGATTTCAAAAAAAATCGGTGTAAAATCGTGATTAATCGTATATCACTAGAAAATTGGCAATTAAATCAGATTTTATCGTGATTATTGGAGAAGAACCGATTTTTCGAAAATCGGTAATAAATCGAAGCGATAAATTGTGTTTAATCACCGATTTTGTCAACTGATTATGAATTACGAATTAATTCAAGAAATATTTGATTATTTATTACATATACACGAATGTCACTACTGTAACACGAATTAAGATTGGACAATTTTAAAAAACGATCGAACTTAGCCTCTTCTTCACATTCATTTGTTTCAAAACGTTTCTTTCAATAATAAATAGTTTGTTTTAGATATATTTTTAGCTTAAGTATTTTTTCAATTAGAATCTTTTTAGATTGATCAATGTTTAGATAACTCAATTCATCCAAGATATATGTAAACTGAAAAAAAATTGCCTCTCTACTATATAATAACGTCTTCTGTCATTAACACCATATGTAGTCTTATGTTTCTCGTTTAGAATTTTTATGTATTTTCTCTTTTTTAGATTTTAATTTACGAGGGAAAAGAAATACACTTAGAATTTTTTAAAGGAATCACTAAATTTAAGATATTAGTTACTGCATATGAACATTTTTATATATTTTTTCATTTTTTTTTCGATTATTCTCTCGTCTAACGATGTAAAATAGCACACCGTGTTTTTATTTTCGTTTTTATTATATAATTTGTTCATGTAAAATAGTGTGAATGTTCAATTTTTTAATAAAAATACTCGTAAAATTAAATCAATAATAAGAAGTTTTGAATATGACGAGAAGAAACTAAATATATGAGCATGAAATCGCATTGAATATTGGTGAATAGAGGGCAAAAATCGACTACAAAATCACGATTGATCGCAAAAATCGTTAAAAAAATTGAGAAAAAAATCGACGATTTATCGCGATTCAGCTCACGATTATCGTTTCGATAAATCGCCGATTTTTTACCGATTTTAAGGACATGGGTTACATATAATCTATGAACTATGTTAAATTCGAAGACAAATAAACATTCATAACAAACACTACTCAAAGAGCATAAACTTCAAGATCCTTTCGTTTTTTTATTTTGGTCGGACCTTGCTAAAACAAACTTAATTACAATAGAGGATCCTGACAAAGTCTACAATTTTCTAGATTTAACTGAACTTCAATTAAAGTTGAACATAATTTAACCCTTTGGCTGTGGGTGATGCAAATGTGCGTCATAGTAATTTCATATTATATTAATATTCATAGAATTATAAATGATATCAATTTTCATGCAAGCATTTCTTAGTCACTTTTTTGGTGTAATTTGAGTTATAAATTCTTTTTCTGTGATATTCAGCAATGCATAATCAATATGACACAACTAATTCTTATGTGAAAATTTGCTAAAACCTAAGATTCTCACGAGAAACATTTTAATCTAAAAGGACATGTTTGATGATGTTATACTTATAAATTGTTTTTCTATCTGCTTGATATTACTTTACTCGATATCTTCATTTTATACAAATTCAAGACCGGAAAAATAATGCATCTATCTGACTTTCGACTGGAAGTGATTTGATCCATCATCGAATCTATTGGAAGTCAGAAGCATAAAAAAAAGAAGACCATCTTTAGAAAACCCATGGAGGCCTACTGCACGACATTTCCCTTCACTATTCAAGTTTATTCAGCTGAGAGTACACATACAGAAACAAAGAGGCGAAGGTACCATGTCTGCAGTAATACAGCAACAGGATAAAAAAAGGACTGATACAAGATATGAGTGTGCTGAATGTAATGTTGGTTTATGTGTTGTACTTTGTTTTGAACTGTACCACACTTTGAAAAACTTCTAGACATCAATACGTACAAAATCTTTTGATAAATTAGAATTACAGATTAATTTATGATTGAAAATATAGAAAAAAAAGAAATTTTAATTTTTTTTAAACTGCGTAGTCAAAGGGTAAATAGATGATTAAAAAAGAGCGACTACATTAGTGCAAGGCGATTGATAGATATACTTAATATTAGAACATAGTATAAATATCGTGACAATAAAGATACCACTATCACTTGTTACTATTTGAATGATATTCTTTGAAGACAAACATTAAAAGTGTATAACAATCATCATAAATTCACTTCAAGAGTAGTCAGCGAAGTCTTTAAATTTCTTCTGTGCACCAAAACATCTCTAGAGAATGATAATATGTGAGAAATACGATGTCTCTAATTTTTATACAAAACAATTAGTCATCTAATAGTGATTTCATCACTCTCGTTCAACTAGATTCGAAGATCTTAAAGCAAGCTAATTAGTTCGTTTGATAGAGCATAAAAAAGTGGCATTAGAGCACTTACTGATGCAATCAAAAATTTCTTACTGAGGCCTACAAATGAATTACAAGATGTTTTCGTGACGAAACAGCGTTCACAAATGTAAATAATTGTATCGAGAAACGATGAGAGCGTCTGCTAGCATGAGCAAAGAGGTCATTCAGATTAGCTAAACATTATATGATCGACTTTAGAAAAGGCATATTTGCTGACACTAAAACTCAGACCATAAAACCAAGGATCCATATTGGTCTTTATTGATTTGGTGTGGCATCTCTTTAATAGCAGTTTTTTTTTCAAAGATAGATATATCTGCGGAAACAAAAAAAGTACATTTCTCTACTCTATCAACATTGTTCTACAAAATGGTTATAATTGTGTCGACTGACTCTGTGGTTCGAATTTCCACACACGAGTGGATCGTTACATGGACAAGTCGCTAACCTACCAACAGTTTCTTTTTTTATTAAAATGTCCTACGAGAATACAATGATAATGGTAAAGAACAGTAAAACCTTAGAACAATATCAATCTCTTGAGGATCGTCGTACTAAATTTAGCAGGATTTTTTTCAAGTTTTTTCACTCTATGAATAATACGCGAACGAAAAAAGACATCGGACTACGATCTTCATGATGGCATTGAAGAGATTTCAGTGCATACATCTATGCAAGAAAGACAACTTTAAGGAGCTCATTCATGGAATAATCCTTATGAAGTTTTGAAGGACTACCTATGTACGATTTAAAGGATGATAAAATACAAAACGTAGCTGTAAACGGCTGAGTTTCCTGTTAAGTATAAATACCATAATTGTGACGTAATTTGGAATAAATATAGGCTGTGGCATATGGTTATGTGTGACACTATCGCGCCCAAACTTGTGCGCAAAATGAATATTTTGTCTGTTCTATTCATGTTAAGTTAATCATTCTCTCAAACATTGACTAACTGTTCTGCTTCCATATTATTAGACTAATTAAACTCATTAGTATGAATAAAAGAAAGGAGGTGCTAGTCTAACTGTTGATGTGTGTGTTGTTGTGGATCGGTGTTAGTGTCGGTAAGTGTACTTGAATGTAGACGTGAGTGTGTGTTTATGTGACTGTGACCATTTAAGCGAAGGAAAGACACCGATATACACTTCAAAAGTATTGATTTCTCTAATGTATTTTCCTCGGTATTGGAAAATTATACACAAACATAGAATAAAATCTCCAAACAGTTTTTTTTCATTCTTTATTTTCATTTTGATTACTTAAGGAGAAAAAAAGACAGAAAACTTTTTAAAGAATGTTTTGATATTGAACAGCTTTTCACATTGCACATCGGAAAAAGTAATATTATTAAATCTTCAATTACAGTTCATTCAATGCTGGAACCATTTCTCAAAAAAACTACTCTTGCTTTTCAAGTTCGATTAATCTGGTATGCACATATTTTCTTTCATAATATATTCAGATACTTTTTGTCAAAAAAGAAAATAGGAAATCATCGTAAGAAATCAAAATGTGTTTTATAACGTTAAATCAGAACGAATCAATTCTAGTAGTTTAATCGTGATCTACTCATGTATTTGAAAAGAAAGTCAATCAATGGAAAATTATAGACATGTTGAAGAATATTTGTAGAACTCTATACTGATCTTTCTCTATCAAAAAAACCTATGTTCAGATTGATAAAAATTTACGTCAATTTCGGCTACTACCCAACATTG